AGTCGGCACGTGCCACGCAGTTAAAGGCCGTGCTCCGTGGCTTTATCTGTTTGTGGTTAGTCCGCTACTCTAATAAATTGGAGCTCCGGGCCGCCTACTACCTTTGTGTGAAGTTATAGTGCCTTGATTGACGGCCAGGTCGCGTGCGGGTGATGCGCAGTCGGGCTCTCCAGTTTTGTCCGACACTGCGAACAATCACCGCATAAGCTGACTAATCGGAACTGACACTGAGCTGGAAACTGGGAGCGGGAAGAGAGAGGCCGGCGAGTTCAGAGCATATTCAGCACTGTGAACAACCTGAGGCGCCTGAATCTATCCCTTTGTGCTAGAGGCCGTGGCGTGGAAAGCTGCCAAATGATGCAACAACTCGGACCTCACAGTCAGCCCATTTTGTGTCTATGCGGGGTGGCCAACTGGCGGACTAGCATTCAGGCCACAATAGTTCTTTTTTAATGTGACCCCTATGGCATTCCCATTCAGTGGGATCCGAGTCGGTGTGGCGGCATGCGTTTAGATGCGGATTTTCGCTGCGCCAGCCGCCTTCACTCTCTCCTGCCTTCGAATTTCTTGACTCTGTCATGACAGCCGACTCAGGTTGGGGTGGAGGAGAGCGTGTGGTTTATTCTGCGCAAGTCTTCCATCAGTAAAAATGAATTCGCGCGCAAATCACTGTCCCTGCCCTCACCTGGCTCTGGAGCAGAAGGTAGACATCGTCCGTAACGAGGAACGAATTGTCGTGTGCGTTTGCGTGCCTCCTATACAGGACACGTGTTAGATACGCTGGACCGAGAGAAGGGATAGATGGGAGTCCGGCAGGCGTTATCGGGAATAATGAATAAATTTGAATAAAGCAAAGGCGACAAAGCATGCAGTATTTACTGACGTCATAAATTTCGAGACCTCTCATTCAGCTGCGTACGGTCATTGCATAGTTATATGACAAGGCAAACTGTTCAATCAACGATCGACCTAGAGAGATAAAACACGATAGGTAACCTGAAACATGTGTCTAGTATGCGGGTGCATGCGGCGAGGGGGGGAGGGGGAGAGAAGTCATCCAAGTATGAGAGTTAGGACTACAGTGAGAACTTGCCCGGTGTGATTCAGAGTGCAACGCGCGGGCCGCATTCAGTCATGCCGGGGAGGGGGAGGGGGGGGGTTGGGGGCGAAATGGGAGGGCGTGTATGGAAACAGGGTTTCGTCCATAATCGATCCTTACTATGGTAATGCCAGGTTTATCATGTGGTCCAACTGCTTACGGAGTTCTGGTTTCATCCTCCGTATTGTCCTAGCGGACATTTTCATGTCTAATCTAGAGCGAAAAATAGCCCGGAACTTACAACGAGCCTTATTCTATAGGCGATATGTGGATGACATTTTCGCCATAGTCAAAAACCAAGGCGACGGTGAACTACTACTCAAGGCTCTGAACAAAGCACATGCAAAGATCAAATTTACGATCGAGCATGAGAAGAAAGAAACACTGCCGTTCCTGGATATTCTTGTACGTATGCGGGCAGATGACTCTATTCAGAAATCCATTTATCGAAAACCCACCTGGAAAGGACAATACATGCACTTCCTCAGTTTCTTTCCAATTCAGAGAAAACGGAACTTGGTTTTGTGGATGTTGAACAGAGCCAACAGAATCCGCCCCTCAAATACGATCGATGATGAGCTTACTTTTCTAAAAAACGTTTTTCTTGCAAACGGCTATCCGGAGAAATTAATCGATAAATATCGCCATCCCCGACAAGGAACTCCTGAAGAAATATTTGTACCAAAAAGTCAGTGACCATCTACCTCCCCTTCAAGGGGGATAACGTGTCAAACGTGATCAAGCGACGTCTTCGGTGCACAATCGAATGGACGTATGCCGCCTCTAAATTTTTGTTTATAAGTGCCACAACGACAATCCCAGTTAGACCAGCTAAAGACATTTTGCCTATGCACGCCACATCAAACTGTATTTATGAGTTTACATGTAGTTGCGGATGCAAGTACATTGGGCGCACGCCAAGGCAGTTGGCAGCTCGGTCAGCTGAACACATGCCGAAGTGGCTGCTTAAGGCGGAAAATAAGGTACCTAGGAGCTAAATCGCAAAGCACCTAGTGGACACGGGCCATACGGTGGACCAAATGGTTGCATTCAAGGTCCTGTTTCGGGCGACGACCGGGCATCTCTTGCGCTTTGCAGAGGCCGCTGCAATACGGAGGAGGAAACCAGAACTCTGTAAGCAGTTAGACCACATGATAAACCTGGCATTACCATGGTAAGGATTGATTATGGACGAAACCCTGTTCCCATATACGCCCTCTCATTTCGCCCCCAACCCCCCCCCCTTCCCCCTCCCAGGCATGACTGAATGCGGCCCGCGCGTTGCACTCTGAATCACACCGGGCAAGTTCTCACTGTAGTCCTAACTCTCATACTTGGATGACTTCTCTCCCCCTCCCCCCCTCGCCACATGCACCCGCATACTAGACACATGTTTCAGGTTACCTATCGTGTTTTATCTCTCTAGGTCGATCGTTGATTGAACAGTTTGCCTTGTCATATAACTATGCAATGACCGTACGCAGCTGAATGAGAGGTCTCGAAATTTATGACGTCAGTAAATACTGCATGCTTTGTCGCCTTTGCCTTATTCAAATTTATTCCGGGAAAACTTTGCTTCAATAATGAATAAATAAATTACTTGAGTTAGCGCCCCAAAGTGTACTTTCATGGAATGCGTCAGTATAACAAGTCTCAACATTAAGAGTGTGGCGGTACGTCTATATGCAGGTCCACGCCCCGCCCGTTAGGGTCCTTGTCGCCCCCAATTTTTCTTGATGTATAAAATCCTGGTCAGTGTCGGTTGTGTACCAGGGTGTGTGGTGGCACGCCTAGGTGCGGGCTCCCGTCGTACTAGCCGCCTGCGTCCTCTCCCGCCTCTAGTCTTCTCGGCTCTCTCTTGACGACGGACTCAGGTGGGGAGGAGGAGAGCGTGCAGTAGATGATGTGCAAGCTTACCATCACATTAAACTAGTTCATGTGCAAGTCGCCGTCCTTCCTTTCACCCTGCTATGGAGCACACGGTACCCAGTTAGGGGGCACAATGTGCAGAGTTGGTGGATCTAACCAGGTGCCCCGTGCAGGTCGTGCTTCCTCTGCTGGCCAGGTCGTGTGCGGCACATGTAGACGAGCGCTCCGCCCAGCCTCGTCGCCAGTTTGACAGACTAAGACTGCTGAATGGTGCCTGAGGAAGGACAGTGAGTCTGACAACGGAATTCATCCCCTCAGCAGACCACCGCATTCTTCACTATAGTAGATCTGGTGCGCCTGAATTTAGCCCAGTGCGCCAAGGGTTGTGACTTGAGGGGTTGTCAGTTGACGAGAGATGTAGGTTCTCATAGGATAATTTCTGAGCCACCAGAGGACTGCTAATCAGGCTCAGTGGGTCCTCCTTAATGTGGCCTTTATGGCACTTTTATTAATGTGGGACCCGAATCGCCATTATCACAGTCGTGTGGCAGGCGTAAAGGGTTGTTTAATCTTGTCAACATTTGCGCCCCAGGCTATCTCCGGTCATCTTGACATTGTCTTACCGTCGGAGCGAGGCATTTAAAGAGAGAGGAAGAGAGTGCGCTAGACGCTGAGAAAGTCCACCATACAATAAACTAAGTCGTGTACAAGCCACCGCTACTGCATTGACCCTTTCATGCGACAGTATTGTTTGGTCAATACACTCGCCATCCATACCCCAAATTTCGCCAGCTCTTCATTCTGTTCATCTGTCAGCAGTATTCACGGTAGAAATGGGTTCCTGGTCAGGGGTTACGTTATAAGCCCTCGGACTTCCTCCGACTCCTGATGCCGTATCTAACACTATGTGCCGACTCTCCGGCCGTGTGAAGGCTTTAATAATTCGTCAGGATTGTCTAGGTTAACATAACACTTCATTAATACCACACAGGGACTTCATGATATAGAACAGTTACGGCGTCACGAGAAGCAACCGACGGACAGCCTCACGCGTCCGCCGCCATCAGTCCGTCGCACCCTAGTCTTAGGCTGGGCGCACAGCACAAGATCGATTGACGTCCCCCAGGGTAATTTGGGCCAAATTATAGCGGACCCACTGGAAACAGCTAAGTCCACCTTCCGCTAAACCAACTTGTTGATGGTCCACCCCACTGATCGCAATTTACCGGCCAGTTAAAGGGGCCAATTACCGAATTGCACATACTTTCTGAATATACAGCCACTGCGTTTATGGGTATAGCAAAATCTACTTTGCCATTGTGCTCTAAAAATGACAGACATGCCCCAGACTTAGAGGGCACTGGCCGAAGCGCTCCTCACATCCCTGCTTCAACTTAAAACCATTATATCCTTTTTGATTTAAACATGTCCCACTTCTGTTTAGAGGCCGCCGCACCGTCTTCCTGGACGCCTTACTATTTTAAACGCACTTCATCACCCCATAACTCAGGCAACCTGCTTTGAACTATGGATGGCTGCAGGCGCATTTTACTTATCATCTTCAGCGTGCCTGAAATGCTCTCCCACGAGGCCTTCCTCGCTGAATTTAGTTCACCAAGTCCGCTGAAGCGCACAGTGAAAATCGATAATCCCACTAATCCTCTCTGGTGTCACGACGGTTGTTAACTGACAGTGGACACGGCCGATTTCCGTTTAAGCTAGGTGATTGATAATCGGCGCTCGGGCCTCAAATCTCCTGAAGGCCGAAAGTAGTACTTCAAAGTGGTCCGACGCAGAGAAAATCGATAAAAAATCCAGTAGGGTTAGAAGAACTCCGGTCCAAAGTTGGCTAAGATTGAAAAACTCAGTATCTCAGCACGTGCAAGTGTGGCTAATTCTGAACTTCACCCACAGATTTGAGTACTGTCAAAAAGACAAGAGAAAGGAGTCAATTTGATAGGCTGCACAAAAATACTTCAAAATATATCTTTAAATGCAACAATGATTCTTGGTCTCCCGAAAAAAAATAAGTTTATGGGAAATTCTTGTCCACAGTAAAATCGCCGGCTTTGATTGCCTCGTCTAACTTTCGAACAACGTTTGAATAGGAGTCCCATAGCGCGCCGGCAAGGGCATTGACTTCCTGCTCAAGCTGTTGGTCCATCAGAGTGGTCATGAGAAGAGATTCAGCTCTCTTCTCCATGTCGCCATTGGCGGACGCAGACGTAGGATCGGTGTACATGGACTTCACGTTGACTCTCTGAAAAATAAAAAAACACCTAGCATACTTACTCTCTTCGCAGAAGGAAACAGAAAAAAGCGGCGTAAATGCCATAAACACAAAACAACAGAAGAGAACTCGGCCCTTACAAAAGCTTCCTGACATGTTGAGACCCGCTTCTGCATTTCAAAGGCCAGAAGCACGTCTAGAGTAGATTGAGAATGACAATTAAACCATAAACTGTGTTTTTATGGGGATTGGAAAGATAAAAATGTAGTTTCCACCTCAAGTACAGTAAGTGTAAAACATTTCATCAAAAGCGCTAAAACTAAATTTGGAATTGAAAAAAATGAACTTAATCTACCCTAAACGTGGCCGGAAACAGGTACTCGAAAAAGGTGACCCTGTGTAACAGACGGCCTACCAGTAGCAGAGTTTCTCAAGTGAGGGGACGAAGTGTTTCTTCGAATGGGGTGACCTGCCCGATGAATATTTGAGTCAGTGTTTTGATTCGTATTCTGCGTCCGGGGTGTTGTGGACCAGGGTGTGTGGTGGTACACCTAGGTGCGGGTCCGGCCGCGCCAGCCACCTGCGCCTCCTCCCGCCTCAGGTCTTCTTGATTATGTCATGATATCGGGCCCGCGTGGGGGAGGAGAGGGTGGGGTAGGCACAGTGCAAGTCTACTATCATTATAAACAAATCACCGTGCCTGGCTCTCGCCCTGTTGTGGATCACACGGCGGGCATTGTCGGTCACGACAGTCGAGCGGTCAAACTGCCATTCTGCGTCCAGTCATTCTCTCAGTACAGTAGGTCTGCTTACATGTGACATAGTGATTAATTCAATCACAAAATTCAATCATGCCCTTATCATGGCAAATTCGGTCATCTAATTTAGGAAAAACCGACGCATACCTAGGGCCATGCCTGATATGGTCGGCCACAGTTATAAAGTTCCGGAGAATACGATCGCGAAGGCCTACGGTTCGGCCCGCTCTCCGTTGCAGAGAATAAGACCAAATACTATAGGCAGAAGAACCGACTTTATAGGTTGACGGACTACATAAAACGTAGTTCTGAGCTGGTCACCCCTACCGTCGGAGTTTCGGCAGCACTAAACTCATGGGACAAGTGATGGAGCGAAAGCAAAACCACTTTGATCGTCCGCCGGTTTTGCTCGTCTTCTACCCAGACGACCCAGTAGTCACAAACCCGGATGATCGGCAAACGCATAAATTTTTTGCGATTTACGTACGGAGAGGAGTCCATAATAGCCAATGAACGCTTGCAAACCCGTACAAGAAGAATCAATTCGGACGACAACGTTGTCCTTAGTCTGTCCTTTAGGTGTGCGGGCCTAATATCAACACGGAGGATGAAGGGAATTTAAGTGTCTGGTAGATACTGCTGTGGGCAGTCGAGATAGTAAGAAGCGCTGCGGCATGTGCAGACCGAGACAATATACGCGGATAATACCCCGGCACCAGTCTCAATCCCCCATCGCTGTCTGATGTAAACTGAGTGGACAAAGGGGATATAGAGATGGGGGAATATGGGATGGATTTCACATCAGCTATGGTCATTATGATCCTAATGTAGTGCTACTTGCACTTATTACGGTAATAATCACTACAGTTCTGGTAAGCAGCACGTCGAAGCTACATGACAGCACTAACGATCGCCTTCACCCGCAGTCAGTCGGCAACTGGCTCCAGTGACTCCCTGCCTCAGCAACAACACGTAACCGACTTGTGGCAAGAAATTTCCTGAAAGACACGAGAACCCAGTAAAGACAGTCGGTCAGACCTCCTTAGTTGTTGATATCTTTGCAGGATACTGCGGGAAATGGGACCGTTCTCCACAGTCTACCTTTGACATCGTCCATGAGATAGCAAAAAAGTAGAAACAAAATACATGCTGGGGAATACCTCTTAACCCATTGACAATATTAGTTGATAGACCACATGGTCTTCGGAAAAAAATTTAAAGAACGGAGAAAACGGCAACAGGCCAGAACGAAACCGTCGTTACATCGACCTTCAAGAAAACCGACACCCAGCTGTACAAGACATATCCTGTCAACAATTCCTTTGACGTTGTCCTCAAAGACCTCACATTCATTTTTCTTGATCGGTTCCCCCTGTGCTCACACGCACGGACACAAAAAAGTGCGAGTAGAAGCAAAGAGGAGAGTCAGGTAAGGAAGCAGAGAACTTATTGAGCACCAAGACCATTTGCTTACTGTTTTAAGTGTTCGACCTTCTACAGAAGTCCACCCTCAAAACCAGTGACAGTTACAGGGACCCTGAAGCAACCAATGACCAAATCGAGATCGTGTGGTCGAGCACTGCTCGCTCTCCATACCCTTAAATGCGGAACAGTTTACCTTGGTTTGGCTACTGTGGAATCTTCTATGGCCGGTCAAACTGCGACGGCATGACAGCGCGATTACAATTGTTGGCTAGTCTGCCAACGCGGATTAAGGCGCAAAGGCCGAGTTAATGCCGTGGAAGGTGATTTCCTGGGAACGGTAGGATAAAGGACCCCAATTAGTTGTCGGTATACCGTGGATCGTGTGGTGATGCATGCACTTGTGAAATCTGGTTAAGTACTTAGAACTGGCAGTTGTGCGCAAGAGCGAAGAAACAAAAAAGGAGATTAACTAAGCATGAATTGAGGGATGATAGAGATGTCTGCCAGAGGATAGGCTCAGTCGTTTGATGGTCGGGCACTTTTTCAAGATGGAACGCCACGAAATATCCCGGTAGATACCGTGTCCGCATACACTCATGATTTAACTCGAAAGTATCGTTTTTACCATCGACCGTCTTCTGAGTTTTCCTGCATCTCGCCAGCTTACTGTCCGGCGTGCTGCCTCACCCGCAAGACCCCCCATTACCACCATTTCCGTATGATAAGATCCACGGCACACCGACAGCTAACTGGGGTCCTTTACTCTGCCGTTGCCGATTTCTTTTATGTTGCCTCCAAGGCCTGACAGGGCTGCGTCTGCTCACCAATATTTTCCGACTACATGAGAGGCAAATTTTTTCAGTGCACACTAGTAGACGACCGTTCAGAATGTTTCGGTGCTTAAGAAATCCTTTGCGGGAGTTCAGCCCGTTGTGAGCAAGAGTAGTCAATACGGCTGAAGCGAGGCCGAAAGCAAGCTTTTTTTAAGACGAAAAGGGTTCCTATGAAGCTCACGACCACAAACATCGGCCGGGTCAGGGAATGGTAGCTGTCAGACGTAAGCGGCGAAAACTAACACAGTACAGAGGGTGTAGTGACGACTTTCAAGTTATCTGACTTACAGCACGGAAGGTAAGTGTAACTTTAACCTCACTCTCCTCATACATATATCCTGCCCTGAATGGCAAGACAGATATGCCGGCAAGTTAGACTTCGTTCGACTCCATCAAAACATCTAAAATATGTATGAAATTTGCAAAAGACCTAGGTAAAAGTATATAAGACTTCCGTTGAGACAGCCTTTTTAAGGTAAAAGAGATGATCTATGCGCTCCACTCAATAGATACCTCTCTGCAACGGCATATCTTGCGAAGTGCTATACTGTCAGTATGGGAAAGGATGAGTTAACTCCGTCCCTTGCGTTGGTCGGCACAGATGGTTCAGCCATGTGCCGCCCCAACCCCAAGTCAAGATCGCTTGGTGCCGGTGTTACCTTGCGACGACTTTGAGAAGGGTGACTGAGTGGTGAAAATAACCGCGCGCGCATCTCTGGTGTGAAAAGCTGGCTTAACTTATCTCGAGGATCGGCTACCGAATAGATGGGACGAAAGACTTTTACTTATGAGACAATGAAAAAGTAACATGTAATGGTTGGACCAGTTCCACGTAAAAAGCAAAGTACACCATAACACTCACAAGAACGATCTGGAATAACTCAACAGACGAGAGGCGACAGAAAATGTGCATTGGGAAAGACCTGCTGTTCAGCGTGGTTGATAGCTGTCATTATTTTGGTTTCCTTCCGCACGAAAACCCCACCATCCTCCACGTCAGCAAATAAGCGTTTATTCAAAGGATAAACATCGGAACAGGCAAAAATTCCTACTCTGTGGAATGTAACGCTATGTCGCACGGGTTTACCCTTAGAAGGGCATGTGACTTCTTATAAAATAAGAGTGTAAGTTCTAATGGAGGAAGGTTCAAATGATCTTCGGCAAGCCCTGAGACCACGGAAGTTGAGGTGAAATATGGATGAATCAGAAAGCTTACGCGGTAAATAATCTTCGTGCGTTCTTTCAGGGCATTTTTATACTTGTTTTCCGCTTCCGGATTGTTTCGGGGCAGAAGGAAGAGGCGGAGGATATCATAGACACGATAAGCCTGTTTCCTGCAGAGCTTTAGCTTCTCTTTTGCCACACAGACAAAAGGCGCGGCGGGATTGGCGGTGGCGGCCAATGCCATAGCCGAGGTGCGGCGTCTTTTTGGGCAGCTAGGTACCTCTTCGTCTTCACCGGCAACGCGACCGTTTGTGGCTAGAGCGGCCGAAGATGCTATGGCCGATCTGATTTGCCGAAGGCATTCATCTAATTGAAGGCAACGCTTGCAATCTAGAAAGTCCCTGAGACGTTGAAATTCCGGTGAGGGTTCCTCCACTGCAAAATGGCGCGAATGTGACAATCTTACTAACTTGAAATGAACGTTTTCAGGTTAATCAGAAACCGCGTAAAGGTAACTTAAATAATAACGAGTAAGCAAGAAAGTGATGCTGACATATAAGTGCGATAATTCAACTTGTAATTAGTATGGATGTTATTTGCATGCGAACAAAAGTACAGTAAGAAGAAAATGCGGCCACAACGAACCCGTGATGTCGATAACCTTGGGGAGGGGCACGAAGTCGTCATAAACAGACTCTAAAAGGCGAGTAGCGTGGCCCATTCCCCTGAAAGGTGGAAGAATTAGCGCCTGGCTGACCCGAGGTCGCACATGTTCCGGAAAGGCATAAAATGCATACACGGTCAGAAATCCCACCAAGGCATAGCGTTTTTCTGGTGAACTATGAGATGTGAATTTTTCGTATCTATAAAGGAAAATAAGTCCAGAGAAAAAGCTAAACATACAAGATGTAGAAACTCCAGTTTTCGTCCAATGTAATGAAACTGGAACCGTCGATAAAATACATTAAGAACGGCTCCATCCGCTTATGATACTTAGTGAACTCCTCAAAGTTGTCTGCGCTTTGATCTACGTGGTAGATTACAAATTCATGAGCATGTCCTCCTGTAAATTAGATAGTAAAAGGAGAAAGCGCTTCATCGAATACCTTTACTGAGGGTATAACCCGACTTCAAAGTTCCGAAAGGCCTGAAATTTAACTCCTCTTCAAAGGTCTTCCAGAAGTCAGCTTCTGAAGTAATTAATTTTTCATCGTAAATTTTGCTCATTTCTTTTATAATATCATCTGGCTAGACGGTTGACAAAGTGATAAGGCAGATGAATATACCTCCACTCCTTTCGATAAGTTTGGGGATATTTTCTCGGAGTACTTGATATCAACGAAAGTTGAGAGGGATCCGGCCATTACAGCGACAGTCACATCCAAGTCTTTATAGCCGAATATCTTTTCGCTGCATAAGGTTTAAGACGTAAGACAGAAATGCGTACCTTTCGCCAAAGATCTGGTGCGTCATCTCGGGATTGAATGACTCGCCGTCCTGGAGATCGCTCTTCTCTCGAACTACCAAATCGTTTAGGAGGACTCAGTATAGGTGACAATCGTTATAAAGGAGAAAAACGCATAAAGATGTGCAAATAAAAATAAATACGACAAGGTGGCTTGTCCACTCGGGGTAGTCCGAAAAACAAAAAATATTACTGTCGAAGTCATGACTTCGAGACACGGTATCCGGAGTACCAAGATATGCATTAAATAGGTCAGAATTTAGTTAGAAAAACTCTTACTAAGCTTGAAGTGGAGAGCGTCAAACGCATCCACTTTGTACTCATCTATCAGCGACTGGAGGGCACCCTCCATTCTCAGAGCAAATTTTGAAAAAAATACGACCCCGCAGCCGAAACACCAAACGCCTACGGTCCGCACTGGAACCAAATATGGTTGTTGAACTTCATGCTAGGTGGTTTTCAACTTCTCCGAATGAACAGAAACGAACGAAGGGATTGGGGAGGGATTACTATATCCATACGAGATAGCATCGACTACGTCAGAGTTAAGTCTTCCCCATTTCGGAACATTGATTGCGAAATACTCAGTTGTTACTTGAAAGTGCCGAACCATTCAAGCCTCCATATCGCCCTGGTTTACAGAACGCCAGGCCAGCGGACGGATGCGGACGATGCACCCAACATCAAGATAAAATAAATTTGTCAAAGTTATTCGGTAATTTCAACTGTCCAGATATCGAGTGGGATTTGATGCATTGCACGCGATCAGAAAACTCCTTCGAACAGAAATGTATTCAACTGATCACAAATGAGTTCCTTACCCAAAATATTAAAGTGGACATTCGATTCAGAGATGGACAGCAGTCCAGCTGTTTGGACCTCATCATTACTAGGGATGATAGTAGCATTCTTGGACTGGAATCGCACACGCCCCGTGTCCGAAGTGGCCACAGCGTTCTTGCTTGGGAGTATAGTCATTTTTCCGCACCTAAAATTCGAGCTGTTGAGGAAAGAAATGTATGGAAAGGGGATGATCCTCGAATGAAAAATCTGATACAGAAGGTGAACTGGAATGCAGCACAAGGACCTGACCCAGAATGCGATTGGTTCTTCTTCAAGAGCGTAATGTAGCACTTGGTAGAGAACTGTTGCCCACTTAAGGGGAAACCGATCACTTCCCGACCAGAGTGGGTGACTTCAGAAATAAAGAAGAACCTTAGATTGAAGAGGAGACTTTGGAAAACTTACGCCTGATGCCAACAACCAGAGCATTTAGCTGACTTCAAAAAACAGAGCAATGTATGTTGGAATCTGTTGAGGAGGGAACGGGCAGAATTTGAGTCAGCAATTCCTAAAATGTCCCGCAAAATTCAAAAAATTCTTTGGATACGTGTATGAGGTCAAACGCAACCGGCACTGCATTCCCTGTCTAAAAGATCGCCAGAGAAATACGTTACCTGACAATTCAGATAAGGCGAACTTGTTGTCCGATTTCTTCACGTTTGTGTATACCGAGGAGTCGGCCTTTGAGGAAGAATTTACCTCCAATTGTCAAATCAAACAATATGATTAGCACAGTGGACTTCAAAAGAGACACGGTAAGGAAAACTTCAAATCAACTACAGCCCACTAAATCGCCTGGTCGGGACGGCATGCTCGCAAAAGTCTTGAATGAACTCCCCGACCAACTGTCCTCTCCGTTACCCAGGATTTTCAGAACTTTGATGAAGACCGGGGCTGTGCCTACGGACTGGAAGAAAGCAAATATAAACCCCATATATAAAGGTGGCGAGAGAACAGCCCCATATATAAATTGGAGAGAGAACAGCGCCATATAGCTTCAGATCAGTGAGTCTCACTAGCGTCTGTTGCAAGTTGATGCAAAAGATAATAAAAACAAAGCTGATACGGCATCTTGAGGAAAACCACTTGCTCAGTTTGCATCAGCATGGATTTTGAACGGGTCGATCCTGTCTCACTAACCTGTTAGTATCCATGGAGAGCTGGACAAAATAAATCGACATGGGCTTATCAGTCGACGCCGCGTACATCGACTTCAGAAAGTCTTTTGACAGTGTTCCACACAGACAACTTATATTTAAACTACGCCGAATTGGTATGAAAGGAAATCTGTTGAAATAGTTAGCCGATTTTCTTACGGGCAGATCTCAGCGTGTGTGTATCTGAAACGCTAAATCGGAATGGGCATCCGTTCACAGTGGTGTTCCACAGGGGAGCGTTTTGGGTCCATTTATGTCCTATATATATGAGAACGACAGCCTGGGTTGTCTGAACTGCGAGCGCGTAGTGTTTGCGAATGAACTCAAATTGTGGAAATCAATAGAGAGGCCGGAGGACTCTCTACAGCTACAAGAAAATCTGGATCGTTTGCAACAATGGTGTAATGAGTGGTGTCTGAACTTCAACCTTATAAAATGCCAACTCGTCCGATTACGATCGAACAACAGGAGGCCGTTAAGACTTGAATCTCAGTACTTTATAGGAGGTCACCAACTCGAATCAGTCAACGCGTTAAGGACCTCGGTGTGTGGATGACGTCAACTCTCAAACCATCGTCTCACTGCGCCAAGGTATCAAAGAAAGCTATGGGTATCCTAGGCGCGGCTAGAAGATCCTTCCTCAATTTTGACGAAGAACTTTTCGGCCGAGTATTTGGCGCATACGTTCGACCAATGTTGGAATATTGCGTTCAGACATGGTGTCCCTGGACGAAAAAAGATTGCACTCTACTGGAGAACGTAAAACAAAAAGCGACCAAGCTAGTCGGCGGACCAGGCTTCTTGCCTTATGAGAGACGCCTGGAAAAGCCAAAAATATTTCCTCTCACTTATAGACAGTACAGAAGGAATATGATCATGGCCTTCAGGATCTTCAGAGGGCTAGACTGTGCTCTTCAGTTTGGCGATTTCTTCGAACTGGCGCGGACGACAAATCTTCGAGGGCACCAAGACAAATTGGAGATAAAATATGCCAAACTTGAATTGCGGACCAAATTCTTCTCCCACCGGCTGTTTGAAGGATGGAACAAATTGCCGAGCTCCGTTGTCTTAGCTGAAAACGTTGAGATCTTCAAAAAAAGACTAGATACATTTATGGTTGATGGTCAAACATTTACACGATATCAACGACTGGCATAACTGTTGCGTAAATATCTGCATGTTTTTCTAAACGTCTATCTGTAAATAGGGTTCTCCAAGGCCCTGCCTCTATCCCTCATATGTACTGATTTCTTTTGAATAGGGTCAACCTGATTTGCTCGTAGTTCTCCGACTCAATTTTAAGGGGACGAGACGGTGGTGTTGATGTCCTATCTTCATTCCTTTTTCCCACGCGGAATTCTGTCAGGGCTTTTGTTCTCAAATCTGGCTGAAGTTACTGGTTTACTAAACTATAGAAAGAAGTAAGTCCCTGCGAGATACAGTCTTCAGTTTTGACTGCACTTGATTCAAGCATGCCCGAAAACTAGACACTGAACGGTCGCGGTGCTCCTTATTTTGGCTTTCTTAAGGGGTCTCTCTATGAAGACGAGGACGATTAATGGAGTCCTCGTTTGGATTCAAATTTTTGGCTGTCGGCTACCTGTCCCTAGGAACCCGCCAGAGTTGCTTTTTATTTCGGGCTCCTTTCGTGACCTTTAACCATCTCCCCTGACCACGAGCTCCTCTCTTGGCATTTAAGTATATGGTCTATAAACCACTCGAGGTATTTGAAAGAACACGGGTCGACCTAATTTTATCCCCCTTTGCACAAGAGAACTCCCATCGTTCCAATAAAAAGGAGTTGGTGGGGTGGCTCCTGCAACAGGTAATATTTTTGTGTCATTGCTAGGGTTTTATTGCGAAAAAATCGAATCTGCCTTTACAAAAAACTTCTTTGCCGTCGTCCTGCTGTTATCGGTACCAAATTCGGTACTTACATTGTTAATATCCGTGTACTGAGATGCTCCTAATGAGATATTTTGGCAGAGGAGAACTCCGCGAACAAAGAAAGCCGAAGTCGGTGGGTCGTATAATACGGGAACTGTGGTAATAGGAGGTTTAATGGATGGAGTATCGGGATACTGAATACGGAAAGCGGGGAAATGATGGAAAGTCAATGACAGAAGAATCTAACCGTGAGGCAAGAAAGCCGGTTTATTTAAGGGGGTAAAAATCGGGGGATGATAAGCACGCAGTTCAAGGAGCCGCAGTAATAACCAATAGGAGTGAAGTGCCTGCGAGCGAAAATCCAGATTGGCTGGCAAGTGTAACGTCCCACGATCTGTATAGGGTTGTTTGAATGAAAGGACACTCTTTGCGCGCGGGCCCAAGATGGTGATGGTGCAAATGCGCGTCGGTAAAAATCGCCGTTGTCCTTCCTTCTTCCTGCCGTCGACTCCAACTCCACAGCTTGCTGTAACGCTCTCATCTCTCTCTCCCTCTAAGCTGACAGCTCACTCGGCCCTCCACTACAGTTGCCTACAGTGCTGCAATCTCCACTGGTTGTTTAACTAACATTTCAATGTCGCCCCACCATCCAGACAGGTTACTCCCTTGCTGTAAACCACGCCCTTTTTACAATTAACTACTATTATATTTATTCTTAGTTTCCATCACATCCTATTATACCTTATAGCCTATCAAGCGTTTCTTCTTCCTTTGCGTCTGGATGAGTATTGCGACATGTTAACGGTTCTGTTTAGACCGGTCTTAGCTAGGATCCCTTCCCAGTGCTTCGCTACCTCGATGTGTGCTATCCTTGACGTCCTCAGCCGTTACACAAGGACTAGCAACCCGGACTGGTCGAAGTTCAACTAATGGGAAGGGAAGCGGGAGACGGTACTTTACAGGCAAAGAGTTAGCAAAATGACCTCCATGTTTGACAAAGCAACGGGAAGCGACCGCGACGGAAATACAAGGTAATTAATGCTAGTGCTAATCCAAACAATGAAAGTCATGCGGCTGTCAAAACCCCTCTACCAAAGCCGTTAGGTTTCTAAATCTATACGCGTAAGGGCGGCGGTGGAGATTGATAAAACCTGGAGGCAAAAAATGCACGTAGTCAGAGCTGGTGAAGAAGATAATCAGTCCCCGTGGAAGGTCTTGTCAGATTTGATACCCTTAGTAATTGTAATGTGAGGAAATAGAGAAAAAAGGGTAAGGGTTGTAAGTGCAAGTAAATTCACCAGTCCGAAGGAACTAAGTGAGTTGATATGCCGAAAAGAAGGCCTGATTGAGTGTCAGACACCTTTACTGAAAGAGTACTTGAGAAGGGGACGGAATGGAATTAGCAATTTTAGAGGTCCGAAAATGAAACGGTGTTTACGAAGCGGTTTTTATAAAGCGGATGATC